CTGCGGCGGAGGGGGAGGATGGGACCCCTCTTCCTCCTCCTCCTCCTCCTCCTCGTCCTCCTCCGCCTCCTCCTCCTCCTCCTCGTCGGCCTCCTCCTCCTCCTCGGCCTCCTCCTTTTTCTCCTCCTCCTCCTCTTCCTCCTCCTCCTCCTCCTCCTCCTCCTGCTCCTCGTCGGCCTCCTCCTCTTCGTCGTCCACCTCGTCGCACTCCTCCCTCGCACCCACCAGGGACGGAGGAGCCGCCTGGCCCTGGGCGGGGAACCTGACAGCTGGTCCCCAGACCTCCCAAAATCCAAGAGGCGAAGATCTCGTGAAATTCCTTCCGGCCCCAGGCGTCTCGCCGACCTGGTCTTGGCTCGGGGTTGGCCGAGTCCTTTGCGGGCCTGGTTCTTCCTCGGGAGCCCAGATGGGGAATGTCGTGGCCGAGATGGCCGCGCACGGGCGCGCGGGCCAGGGCCGCGGGCCGCCCGTAGCCCTGGTACTTGTCCTGCCCTTATTCCTCCACCCGTCCTCCTCCTCCTCGCCCTGTCCTCCCCTCCCGCCCTACTCCTCCTCCCCACCTTGCCGCGCCCCCCCCGCTCCCTGCCGTGAGGGGGGAGCTCGGCAATGGTTTGACGACGACGGCGGCGGCCCTAAGACGCCCAGGTGGGGCAACAGACAAAACTAGCTACGGATTTGTTTTCAATGTTTACGGCTTCTCGAGGTCGATTCCCGGCCTGCCCTGGGGAAGAAGGGGTCGAGAGGTCTGGGCTCACACGCATCGAACAGATCGAAGCGTCGGATGTCTGGAGAGAGCTCGGCAGAGGTCTGACGACCCAGACTTCCTCTCGTCGGGAACATAGCTCGAAACCATGCTGTGCTGCCTTGGGTCCTCGTTCTGAATCCACGGCGCCGCGCCCCACCTGCTCCTTGCCTCCTCCCTCCGCCTCCTTCTCCTAATACCCCTGCCCGTCTTCCGGCCGTGTACCCCTTACACCTGTTCGCCGCCTCATGCGAGCGTTTTCTTCTTCGGCTGTTCGACAGTGGGCGGAAGGGGGGGGCGGTCTGGCTCCAGACCTCTGCTTAATGCGACACTTTGCAGCAGTGCGTCCTATCGGGGAGACCCAACCTGCTTGAAACAGGCGCCAACAAAAAAGCCACGATCTACTCCATGCGGGGGCGGAGGGGGAGGGGGGGATGCGAGGACCAGCGCCGCTCGGCAGAACCACGAATGAGAAGACGACCACCATGGGGAGGCCCAGAGTGGAAGGCAACAGCCAACAGGCCTTCAGGTTGTTCAGCGGTGCCGCTCTTGTGCGGCTCCGTGCCCCGCCGTGGCCCCCCGAGGCCGGGGACTCCTCGGAGCTATCCTGGAGCGTCCGGGATCGACCCACCGTGCGAGAGCATGTCTTTGCCGCTGCTTGGGGGGACCAGGGCGGGAGTGACGCCGTGAACGATGTTGGGCACAGCAGGAGCTCGACCACAATAAACTTGTCACAAGAAACGCGTACCCTGAGAACCCAGGACGTCCATTGTTTTTTGGGTGTGGGAGAGTCACGCTTTCCATAGCGAAACCGAAACCCAAGAAACCCAAGGCACCCTGGAGGCAAGCAGGGTGTTTGTTGGCATGGGCCCCCACTGTACGATGGGGAACATATGTTGGAGTGAGCACGCGTTCTATCCTTCTTTGCCGATCTTCAGCCTCGCGAGGTGCCCCAGAATTCCTGTAGGGCCATCGATCGGAGACTCGTGTCTCCCGTAGGTAGCTGCAAGAAGCCCGCTTCGCACTCGATGTGGCTGACTCTACAGACGCCCCCTGGCCAGCTAAGCCAACGCTGACCTCTTTACAGGCGTGTCTTTCTCACTCCATTCGGGGACGCGCAGAACGGGGTCAGCAAGAACCCGCGTCGGCCCTGGCCCCATCGCGAAGCCTGGCCAGCCGCTTAGCAGCTCCCAGGCCCAACTCAGCCTGGCAGACAGGGGGAAAAATCTGCCCCACGCGGCTCCCAAACCCGGGTCGGCCGTGAGCCCCGATGATTTCTGCTGGGCATCCGCCGGCCTACCGCTGCTGGAGCCGACCGCGCCCCGCTGCCGCCAGCTCCCCGCAGGACTCTCCAGCGGAGGAGCTGCCGAGGGCAGCAGGGCGACCACCTCGACCCGCAGATGGCAAGGCCGTCGTCTGGATCACCCCGTGCGCCCATGCGGGGGCTCGCGGACGGGGGAGGAGGAGGAGGAGGAGGAGGAGGAGGAGGAGGAGGAGGAGGAGGAGGAGGAGGAGGAGGAGGAGGGGGAGGAGGAGGAGGAGGAGGAGAACGAGAAGAGGGAAGGGGAGAGGGAGGACGAAGAAGAGGGAGAGGAGGAGGAGGAGGAGGAGGAGGAGGAGGAGGAGGAGGAGGAGGAGGAGGAAGAGGAGGAGGAGGAGGAGGGGAGGAGGAAGAGGAGGGGGAGGAGGAGGAGGGGGGGGCAATGAACGTGAGGGGGGCAAGGAACGTGCGTGCAATTCTCGTGCACCCTGCTGGGCCCACGGTTGCAATTCTGGGGCCTATGTGGAGAACCGCTGTGGGGCCACTGTCCTGCATCCCTCCATGAGGAGAAGAGGAGGAGGAAGAAGAAGAGGAGGAAGAAGAGGAGGAATAAGAGGATGATGATGATGATGATGATGATGAGGAGGAGGAGGAGGAGGAGGAGGAGGAGGAGGAGCTCCCCACGTTCTATCGGCTCAAATTACGACCGTCCGCCAGGCCCATGGGCACCGTAGTCGCTCTGTCACGGCGGGCAACTGCCTGGACGAGGCGGGCTGTGGCTTCCGCCACCGCGCGGATCTGTCAACCTTGAGCGGCCACCGCGCAGGTCGGCACACCCCTTGGGGATGGACAGGACCTCCTCAATCAAAGCGTGACTCAGTGAAAACGACCTCGGGCACAAACCTGGCGGGCGCATACCTGGAAAATGACGGCCGCGGCGCCCTCTCGAGAACCGAAAAGGGACAATTGGGACAATTCACTAATCGACGTGAGGGGTGGGGGCTCTGTCCAGCCCCAAACCCTTTTAGTGTCGGCGGCTAGGCAAGGGACGTCTGCGCTGGCGACGGGATGCCTAACACGGGGACGCCATTAGAGCGAATTGTGTCACCGTGCACGAGGAGGAGAGGGGGAGGCACGGCCGAAAAAGGGGCGGACGGAGCGAGCGGCTCAGGGGGGGACGGATCGCTCCCCGAGCGAGCGGCGCGGCTACCCAATCGGCACACCCTTCCAACGCCACGTGATCACCACGGGGGTGTACACCTACGGTTTCATGGCCGCCGGCACGTGGCGGCGCCGCGCCAGTTTTGGCACGCGCCCCGCACACGTTTCGTTCGGCGCCCCTGCTTTGATTCAGCACCGCGCGCGTCTCACTCCTTATCCTTCTGTCCAGAGTCCAGAGACAACGTCGTAAACGTGAACTGTCAGGTGTTCACGCTGATTTCTCCGATTAGCGCTGGACCCCCCCTCCCGTGCGCGCGGAGCGCGCCAGGGGCAGTTCTGGAGGCGCCGCACAGGCGGCCCAGCGCCGATTCCAGAAATCCGAGCAGTCCATCGAAGGTTGTATGCTGACGCCGGTTCTGCTCCTTGATCCCATGCTGAGGTCGGGCATGTCCTCCTACAAGCGGGCTTGGGAAGAAGAATAAGGAAACATCAAAACATTTTCAAGCATGGTCAAAAGAGCACGGACAAATCGTCAACTGACGATGTTCGAACTATTCTTGCACATTCCCCCTGTAGCGGGACTTACCCCTCTGAATCCCATGCCCCCGAAGTCTGCAGAGGCAAGCGACTTCCCCACAGTGCAAGCCTCCGCAGCAGTCCCCCGCACGCTCCCGCGCGCACGAGCCGCGAGATGCACCCGAGCGCGTTTTCGGCGCAGGCTTCGGCCGACCTTCGCGGTCTGATCGGGCCCCGTCTCGTCTCTTGCTCTTTCGTTGCGTGCCTGTCTTAGCCTGTGGTGCAGCCCAGCGCTCGCTTTCACCGAAGCCCGACCGCCTCGCTCACCCTGGCGTGCGCGGACCCAAGAAATGTTCGGCGCAGGCCGGGCGCTCGGCGCCAAAGAGGCCGTCGACAAAGCGAGGCATCGGTATAAACAGGAGGCGGCGCACGAGGTGCGAGATGAGCGCGCCGACACTTTGCAGTGCCAGCGCCGTTGCAGTCCGCCGCTGGTTCCCCGCAGTCTAGTACGTGACCTGGCTCACAAGGAGCCGGGTCCCCTCTGGGTGTCCAAGCCAGCCCGCAATGGCGTTCCTCGGTGCAGCGCGCTGGAAACATAAAGGAAATCCTGGGCGTTGACGCTCGTTGTAAAGGAAGCCTATCTTAAGCGGATTAAGGGCAAATCTAACGGAAATAGCGGAAACCGACTAGCGGCAAATAGCGGCACACGCCCCGCACCAACCGTCCACCAATCGCCCCCTACTCGCCGCTAGTGGCAGCTAAACGCCCAAACAAATCAATTCGAGGCTTCTATAGAAATACGCATAACCTTGTTATCCGCAGGTTCCCACGCCGTCTTGGGCGGTCCTCGGCGGTCTTCGGACGGTTTCCCACGGTCTGCTGCGGTCATCTACGGTTTTCGGCGGTCTTCCGACAGTCGGCTGTTTCCAGCGGCCTTTTGCAGTTTCAAACGGTTTTGGAGCGAAAGCGCGGAACGATTGCGTTCACCAAATGTGTGTATTCTGGAGCACCTACCAAACTGGAGAGCACGGCGACGGAAAGAAAAAAAAGGAACGGAACGCAAACAGACGACGACGAACGCGCAGGCAGGAGGCCAATGGTGGCGGGACGAAGCTGGCGGGCGGGCGGGCGGGAAGGGACAGAGGGGAAACAGCAACCAGGGAGCCATGGAACGACGTGGCCCTGGCTTCCCCCCAGAGATCCATATCTCCTGCACAGTACCCCTGCGGCGAAAGACTGGCAAACAGCGCGAAAGGAGAAACGATCCACAACTGCGCGCGGATATCATGGATCGGAACTGGACATCCCCCCTCGGCGCGC